TATTTGAAGCGAGGGCGCGTCCTCGGAGAAGGCGAAATGGGAAATCGGAAATTCCTATTTATCTGTAATTATACGTCCACGCGCTGATAGGCGAAAACTGTCTCCTACACGATGTGCAGGAAATTCTTGAGTATATTGAATGCATTCGAGGTATTTCAACCATTCCCCACTAGATCTGCCTGCAGAGATTTTTTTTAGTTCACGTTTAGTAGTAAAATGGTGAAATAATTAGAACGGAATTAATTATTTAAAAATCATCAGGAATAACTGGTGAATCTTGATAAATGAGATTTGAAAGGAGGAGTGATGGTTGATTAAAAAAATCGCATCGGTTGAGTGAACGGAAGACAACAATTAATAAATTTAAATAGTCATTTAATTATCTATGGCGACATCCCTGTCATTCTTCAATCATTCGTTTTACATGTTAATCCATTCATGATCGATTTTCCATTTTTTTTTTGTGGTTCGCTGAAGATCAATTACAAATTGTGATTATATCCATTAGTTTGAATGAATATATACAGGCTATGACCAACTGTTACTGCCATCTGGGTTATCTTAACGTAAAACCATGTGCCTGAATATTCATAAGAAACTTGATGAGTGAATATCGCTGACAACACGATGAAAATTCATGGAAAATTTTGTCTTAAAAATGGAATGTCATATTTTTTTGTTAATCTAAAAATGATAATTTCTTATATTCCAGTGCTAACATGGGAATTTTCTCTTCAACATCAACCAATTGCAGTATATTATTTAACCTGATATATTTTCTGCAAGGAGTGGCAAAATCCATGGTTAAAAAATAATTGACGTGGTCTGCCATTTCCAAAATTTAACTGGGGGTTACTCACCCCTCGATACACGGAGAGAAATATTTAGTAAAAATTACGGAACTTTCAGTTCACTTATCGATTACGGAGTTGATTCGAAAAATTTAAGTGACGGTATCGTTATTTTTCACCGATAATTCAGATAAAAATTACGGAACACCGCGGAAAAATTCCGTGACTTTAGATAAAAATTACGTGACAGTTCCGTAAAATTTCCGACAACCACATTTCGCTCCAGAATTACAGAAAATACACGTAATTTTTATTGAACAATTCTCTCAGTGTAGCTGGACGAAACTGGAGCACAGCCTTTGTTTTATATTTTTGGATATTTGAGTACATAATAATATTGTGGTAATTAAATAACATAAATGAACTTTACGAAAGATTCTTCACGGGATTCGAAATAAGTAATATAATATCTAGGAATAGGCTTTTCCAACAATCGGTTTAATATTTCTATTTCGCGCGAACTGGACGGACCGTAGAACCGGCATTTAACTGGCAAACGTCAAAAACTTGACGATTTTTTTTTTCATATCTTTATTCTTTACAGTACAGCTCTCCTTTTTTTGAATGGCATTTCCTTCATCATTGCGCGATCCAGTGTCTAGTCGCCAATGTGAGACCTTCGGTGAGAGGGTGTCGGGCGCCAACAAGACGTTCCCCGACATTCCTGAGGTAATCCCGATCATTTCCGAATCCATGTGAGCTGGCTTTTATGCTCTGCAAATGCATTTAAATCATGACTCCCCCGGAATCCTCTTTGGGTATGAGTGGGACCTCTTCGGGGATCTGAACATGAGACTTGAACACTTGAGACGTACTCCAGAATAATCGCTTTGTCGCTTTCGATCATCGGTGGCGAAAAGCGAATTTATAAAAGGAGATAGATCTGGAACTAATTCAAATAAACCTTCATGATCAGGTTTTCCACTACTATTTTAGATAAAATATACACCGATTTTTTCAATAATTGATGTAGTGATTGAGAGCCAACTCTAGCAGATTTCTTCGTATTTTTTATACAGAATAAAATCACCTTATCGAATATTGAAGGATCGTTTCGCGATTCCGATTTACTATAAATGCAGTTGAAGGTCAATAACAATTTTCAGATAATTGTAGTATTCAAGTTATTATTGAAATATTATGATGATTTTTGTTGAATTTTCAGAATTAATAAAATATCTCTGTTGAGGACTGGATATTGAATGGAAATTGTCAGCTATTTCGTCCATTGGTGAAACCCACACTTTAATTCATATTCAAACTGAACAGACTCTAATTATCAAAGCCGATTAATTTATCTGGAATTGTTGAAAAAATAGCAAACGAGGAAGCCGGATTAATTCGATGCTTTACGGGTTGTGACGTGAGGAGTCTATCTCACGTCGTTTATTTTTACTCTTTGGGTTTCTGAAAGCGCAACGATGAAATGGATCCACTTGGCGATCTATTCCATCGTGGAGAACTTAGGTAAGCAATCTTACGCTAATACTACGAGTCCGGTTCCATTGATAAACCGTTTGAGGGTTTTGAGACAGCATCATTGGTGCTGTCAGAACACTTTTGGCGGGAAATCCATGGGAATGCTTAGCTAAGCACTTTGGAGCAGAAGCCTCTCTGAGGCTTCTCTGTGCCTCAGATCAAGATCAGAACCAGACCCGACTGGTTGGTCCTGCAAAAAGTAACATTAACGTTGAAGGTGATGGACCTTTGGTCCAATCCACACGCTGGACCCGTGGTGTGATAAAGTGTCTTCGCCTTATTTAACATTATCAATAGACTACTCTTACTTATTATCGCTGTTAAGAGTCTTCTCTGGAATACCTGTTCCCAACCCAACATTGAGCGAACTCCCCGTGAGCTCATTCCACTTGGTTAGCTAAGGCGAGGGTCAACTTGGCAAGCCGGAGGTTTGATTCCAAGTGTTGGTCAGGGTGCTATCCAGAGCCCGCCAACAGTGGAATTATTGGAAAGCGGAGACCCCAAACGTCACAGGGTAAATACGCACTTACGAGGCAATATTCTCACAATGCCCGGTGAACTAGTTCAATATTCTAAGAATTAACGTCAATTGCTGGAGCAGCCATTTACAATCGAATGGATTTCTGAAGAACAGTGAATACTGAACATTCAATTGAATCAACAGTTCTCGCTATTTTTTTTTCTGTGAATCAAGTGCAAAAAGCTAGTTATTATCCATGACACGTGGAAAATTCCACCTAATTACCGATACATCAGTCGCAAATTGAATCAATTCATGCAGGGAGCTGCAGATGTGGTCTTCAAGTCGTTGACCTACCTAAACTCCCCCCTCATCCGAAGAATGATAACATACCGCAGCAACTAGAATAACTGAGTTTTTGGAATTTCTCCAGGACCTTACAACACACTATTATGTGACTTTCATAGACCGGGAGGTGTTAGAAATTTGAAATCGTCACATATGAATGATGATCAGAGTCAACACTGAAAAAATGTCAAGAATGTCTTTCACAGTAATGAAATTTTTATTTTCACTTTCACATTTTTCATTATTTTCTAGAGTTTATTATCACGTAAAACCTTTTATAAGCAAATAAATGTGAAATCAATTGCTAGTCGATGAATAAAAATTGATTTTAGAAAAAAGCAATTTTTTGTTGGCAAAGACGCGAGACCTTTGGTCCTGCGGTAGTGCTCGATGATAATAAAAAAGATTAACTTTTATCACTATAAAATTCTGCCAGAGGGTTCGCATAAACCCTTCGCAGTCGTATTCAATGAATTTATGCAGGAGTCACTTACTAATATTCTCGGAAGCGTATTGGACCCTTCTGACAAAAACAAGGGACAAAGGAGTCATTCTGGTGGTTTATCGCACCGTTGCACTCACGCCTACGTGTGAAGATGCGGTTGGTGAGGAGAATGGTGGAGAAAAAAAAAAATATATAAAAATTTTGAGAGGTTGAGAAAAAATGAGTAACGAGAAAAAAAAAGGGAGTATGAAAGGGGCCTCTCAAGTTCACGGATGGACGGGCGAGGCCGTAGCGTCGAGGTATCCATTCTTTTATTTCTCGTCTCACGTTCTTGCACGGTGGCACCATACATATAACGTTACATGATCCTCTCTTATGTGGCACATCGATGCTGTCACAGAATTCTCCATTCCCCTCACTCTCTCCCATTGGCCAGTTTTAATTCCAATTCAATGGGATTTATGTCGCGCCAAAAACGTGCGACAAAGTTAAACTATTGGCCAATGCCTATTTGCCGTTTTTTTTTTATCCATCGCTCCCTTTCATAAGTATAATTTATCTCTCCTCCGTGTCATTAAATTTCAATGAAACTTCCCACAACTGAATTGACAAACGAAGGTATATAAATATTTATTTGATCACGATTTCATGGAATATATCATACACTTGGAGATTAGTTTATCTTTTCTCCCGGATATCCCCTGAATTCGATTGTAAACACTGACTTCAGTGTATCCGATTTCACCCTCTCATCCCATCTTTTTGAAGCATTTAGTTACATCTCGTGGATTGGCAGGCAGATGAAAAATAAACGGACTTTCTCGAACAAATTTCACAGGCACTTTACCAGGGTTGTTCATCCCACACTGGTGAGATCGTCTTAACGAGTTGAAACAAAGTTTAATTAAGCACAGTGTGTTGGAGTTCGTATGCTAGGTTGAACTTTGACTATCGCGTGCTGTACGTACACATGTCGGAATAGGAGTGAAAACAATGATACGCCTTGTTGTCTACTCATCATTCATTTAACCCTTTTTAGTGGTGAGAATAATATGGTGGTGCTATTGGTGCGGAATAGCGTTTGTAGAAGCATTGCCAATTCCCAATTAGGGAACAATTGATTTAGATTGTGGATATCGTGGGTTAATTGCCCAAGGGTAATGAATATGAATTATTATAATTTATGCTGGCGAATTTCCCTCAATGCGTTATCATTAATGTATCAAAAAATCGATAGCTTCAATTTTTTTCGTTCTTACAATTTTATCTCCTCGTATTGGAAACCCATATCTGTAAATCGATATCAGTGTTTAGTTTACATCGACAATGTCCGGTGCTCGAGTTACGCCTGTTGAGTAGACCCAACAAGAAAAATTGAATAGCCATTTTTTAATTAATATAGTGTTTTTTTTTTCAGGAATGGCCAGTGCAGGTCTGGAGGTGAAGGAAACAGGCCGCGCCCTGAGGTTCCAAACCGAGTCGCCACATCTTGTTTCTATGGGCAGTGGTCGTCTCTCAACAGCTGTAACCCTTCATCCATTGCCAGAAGGTACTCAGAACACGTACTTCAATCCGATGGGAAAAAACTTTATAATTGATAAGCTCGTATCTCGGATAACACTGAGTCATACCATAGGTGTTGAAATATTACTTCTGAGAATATCATTTTTCCCCCCAGTGATTTTCCCCCATTGACGGTAGTTAACTAGTCCCTAGAAATCATTAATTTTTACTGCATGGGGAATAAAATTCCGTGAATGTCCATTGGAAATACTTACGAAATTTGGAAAATTTTTGGAGCTTACAGTTCAAATTTTAATTTTTTGCACATTGTAATAAAGTTTTCACCTCCGTAAAAAAAACGGCTAGAAACTGTTATAAATTATAGGTGACCTAATATGACCAACAATTTTATTATACGACGCGATCTTTTATTTATTCGTTAACAATCAAACTTTAGTTAAGGTTTTGATATAATTTTAGCTAAGTTGTTAATTTCCCACGCTGTTTGCTCTGGAGTTCGTTAAAGTGTGTTCCTGGCCACCAGTTCGTCCAGGGTGTGAGGTCTGCCCGAGAGACTTGGTCCCTTGCCTATGGAGTTGGTCCACATGTTGGGCTGTTTAAGTAATAAACCGCCTAAGTGTTTTCGTTATTCCCAGTGCCCTATTACAACGGGTCGCTCGTTGGACAAAATACAACCACAAATAACCTGAATTTTTAACCACGAATTTTCCAACGAAATTCCAGATTTTCAATAAGAAAAATGATAAATAAAAATGGAAAAAGTGAAATGTGCAAAAGTGGACAATTCCTTTAGCCTCGTCGACTCGTTCCCTCAGTGGGGGTACAGAAGAGAAAATATATAATACCGATAGTATCAGTCAACCCTTTAGCTTTTCGTGCAGTAAAGCACATGGTACTTGGCGCTGTAGAATATTGTCCAGGTTGCCGTATGATTTTACAACGTAAAAGTTGGCGTGCGAGCGAGGTATTCCGAACGAGGAAGCCGCACGTGCGGCCAAAGTGAATACACACGCAATTACACTCAAAGTAAAGAATATAATACACATACAAAAGTCACTGAGAGGCGTAACTCCAGGGACAGAGGACAGTAACCCAGAGGGCACCCAACATATTTAAATATAGAGTTTGTTACCTCGGTGCACAATATAAATTATTGCATGAGTCAATTCAACTCGAGTTTTAAAACAGCCACTCTCTCCAGAGTGATGTATTTTCAGTCTATGTCCGATGTCGCTCTACGCCCCGTTAACTCTCCACATCTCCACCCATTCTCCACCGTTCCCCTTTTCCATTTCATCCAGTGCTTATTCCTGATTAAAATAAAGCACTCATAATTCTCTCGCATTATGGGCAACTTTCAGCGAGTGAAGATGGCCGGAAGCAGTAAGAGACGAGTCGAGCGATCTGGAATCGCGAGCACGCCTCATTGTTCAACTTCCTCCAATGCCATAAGCCGGAAGTCACAATTATTACGTTAATAATGCACCCGGTGCACTACAGCACTACCTACATGCACTCTCAAGGCGTTGTACCATGCAGACATCGCGTTATTGTTGATATGCAGTTAAGATTGCAACGTAACAATTCGTTAATTGATTCTCTTGGGGATCACTTTATCCCATCTCCTGCAGGGGAAGAGAACATGAATTTCACTTCACTATTTTTCCAGCTGCAGCTGTGATACTAATGTTTCCATTTCGGTTCAAGTATTTTTCTTGGAGTTATACTGATAGCCATCCATGTCGGAAATTAAAATTTCATGGACAGTTTAGTAGCTATTTCCAGAGGAGACGGAAATTCCGAGGGAATTTTAAGGGTTTTTCTGCAGAAAGGCGATCATTTCCCGGCGTATTTCAATTTAATAACGAAACATGAATATTTATTCACTGAATTATGCTGAGGCTTCAGTTGAAATTCAAAAATATATGGAAATAAAAAATTATCACTACATTTTAATACACGAAAAATAAGAAATAGTACTTTTTTTGATGATTTAACATGTAAATTAACATGTATGTATTAACATGATGTTTTTATGTATATCCCGAGTTATTTCACTCGGCGTGTATATAAATTTCAAGAGGAACAATCCGAAATATTTTCCCGAAACTTTAATTTGTGAAGAATTTCGAAAATGTTTAGCGGAAGTGGAATCCCAAATTTTTCACCAGTTTCATTGAAAATTCTTGGTGCATCATCGAATAGACTTTCAGTGGCACCCTGGTATATTTCCAACTTCACCAATTCACACTCAACACTCCAACCAACATTTCCAAAAAGACCGAAAATCCTGGGGTTCCCACTCGCGCCAAATACTAAATATAAATGCACCTCCGGTTCTTTGTAGAAAGCCACCGTCGGAAATGCACTCAGTTGCAGTCCCCATCACTGACGCAATCCCCATGTACCTCTGACTGTCTCGAAATCCCTCGGAATGAATTCTCGATTCGAGTGAATCTTTCAATAATAATTCCTCATTTTCCGGTTATCAACGACATCGGGCGAAAATGTCGAGACATTTCATTCAAAACCTTGGTCTTTTCTCCTTTAAAAATTCCATGATTAAAAATATTTCCCCTCACATTGAGAAGTAAAGGCCAATTTGATAAACGGAATAAGAGGTAGAATTAAATTTTCCGTCTATGGGGAGAAAGTACTCGAGGATTTTAGGACCGAGGATCGTCGACCGGTTGAACAAGTTGAATTATTTTATTTCCATTCGTCTAGGTGATCTCTACATGATTGTGTTGTAATAAATTTAATTGTTCACAGGTCGCGTAATATTGGGATCGGATAGAAATGCTGATATACCAGTGTCAGGTACGGGTGTTGAGGCAGTGCATTGTGCTATCGAGAATAATAACGGAGTGGTCATTCTTCACCCCATAAATGGAAATACAACCATCGACGGCAGCGTTACAAACTCATCCGTGAGACTGGCACAAGGTGGGTCAATCAAAAGTTAGGGGTACATCGAAATTCTAAATCACTCGGGTTTTGCGCTGTCGACAGGAAGGTCTCATAAAATCTCCAATAACGTTGGCCCTTTCATTCGATAGTCACGACGCGAGTCAATGATTTTCGTCGTATAAACCAAAGTTCTCAATTGGATTTATTGCGGGCTCTCATCAATTTTATACGTATCTCTCTGGAATTTTCTCAGTAAGTGACAATTCACCGCGGAGCCATTTTTACTGTACACCGCTGTCGTCCTGGAAGAATTATTACCGTCATAATGTTTGCAATTTTCAATTCAAAAGCTATCGTTTCTCGTATGCTCTGAATTGTAATATTATCCCACTATTCTTCGCGCTATTCCCTCCAATTCCATTAAAATCAATCGACCGCGACATAACGATTGAAGTTGAATATCACGAAGACTCATAAACTTCTAGTCTTCTTGTAATTGATGAAGTTCACTCGATTTCACGGGAAAAAAAACAATGCTTCACGCAGGCATTGAAGTTAACCGAATTATTTGAGAATAATTGCCGGGGCTTGACTTCTGCGTAAAACTAATTATCATTAATTTCCAGGTTGCATGATATCAATCGGCCGCTCCAACTACATGCGTTTCAATCACCCAGCAGAAGCAAAACACCTGAAAGCAGTTCTGCCAAACTCAAGAATATCAATGGCGCCAATAAGTTTCTCGCTGCTTCCTGAGAACACTGACCTCGAGCGAAAGCCCCCAGTAGTTCCCAGGAAATCGCCCCGAAATTCTTGTTCAGACGAAGAGGTGGGCTTCCTAGGTAAACTAACGAAATTCGAAATGCTGGCACGTCAAAGTCGTAACTGCGTATCTCCAAAAGTCTTCCCAGCCGGTTCGCTCACCACAAACGTACCAGCCGACCAGATTCTCGGTCATTCAAGGTCCTCCAGTCTGATATCACTGAGCAAAAGTCACAACTCACCACTGCAGAACCTCACGAATTTCGATAGAAGCAGATCCAACACACCGAATCACATTGGTAGTCCCGGTGGTCATTTGGGTCCCGGGGATAAGCCCAAAAATAGGATTGAAAGTAGAACACCAAGTCGATCGAATACACCTAACAACAGCTATCACACATCAACGCCAAATCACAATCAGATTCAAGTCTACAGCTCGACGGAGGCATACCTGAAGACTTCCACACCTAATTACATCGAAAACGATGAAAATTACGAATCACTGGCTAAATTTCATGGTAACAGTGTTGATCTCATGTCGAGGAGTCTAACTTGCCCGAGGTCCAGTGATTACGATAAGTTTGGACGTGAGTTTGATATGAGCCAGAGTCTCATTGTAGCCAAAACTACTACAACCGAGTATCTTCAAGTTGAGCAGTATGGATCCAATCCAAACTTGTGCAGACCCAGTGTACATTGTACTAATGGATCTTTCAATAGTCCACACGGTTGTGGACCCAATTTTCCCACAAATTTCAATGCCAAGAGAATTCAACCACCGAGCCCTGCCTTTAATCGCAATCCCAGGTACTGTGACCAGAAGAGACTCCACGGAAGGGTTAAGAGCCCTACACCCAGTGTTGGCAGTGGGTGTTCACTCGAGGAACTCAGAGAGAGGCAGATTGATGCCGAGAATAAAAGAAAGGAGGCTGAGTGCAGGAGGAAATTGGCGCAGGAGGAGAGAGTCAAAGAGCAGGAAATTGAGAAACAGGAAAAAATGCGATTAGAGGAGATTTTAGCAATGTGTGCTGAGTACGAGAGGCAGAGTGCTGGGGAGAAACCTAGACAGCCAAATAGGTAATTTATGAAAAATTAAATTACAGTAGACTCCCGTTATAGTCGCGTCCATGAGGCTGTAGGGGAAGCAAATATTTCACAACAAATTCAAAGACGAGAGAAATTCATTTTTCGGCTTTATTTTGCCCGGAATTCGATTTCTCACCGGACGACACAATTTATTGTTTACCTCTTGTAGCCTGGAAGTAGTAGAGTGGAAACCGAAAGATATGCGAAAAAAGAAATTGAGTAGAAGTGCGACTATAACGGGATTTTACTGTATTCTCAGGGAGAGAATCTCAAACAAAAGAAATTTATAAATTCATTAATTGATTAATGCATCCGTCAATTTATTAACTAACGAGTTTCAATATAAAACGTAATAGAACGTACATATTTTACTCTTAAATTTACAAAATTATTACATAAGCAATGATTAATGGCTTTCCTTCATTTTAAATGAGCTGAATTGGAAGTAATGAGAAAAAAATTCAGCTGTTTTTATCAATATCGGCATGAAACACGGAATTAACTCGATAAGGTCAACTCACAACCTTAAAGAACTGATTACAAAGAACATACTTGACATCACATTATCAAATCCTAACAGTTATGTGAAACCTCCAGAGCTATCTTCTCCAATAAATGATATATTATAATAAATGATAATATATTACATCTTCATTCGGTTGTTAGGCTGATTAAACTGAGAAGTAATGTCTCAGCATGATAAAACATTATACCAAAAGTATTTGCAATTAAATTCCCTCAATGTTTTCCAGGATTAAAACCAATGGATCACTGCCACGTGACAAGAGACCAGGCTACAATTCTCCGTACAGCCCGAAAAGTCCGTCAAGCCACCAGCCCCAATTTTCCTTTGAATCGCCAAAACACTCGCCCCCAAATCGCCTTTTCCATCAAAACGGAAGTATTCCAAATAACATACGTGCCTTACCCGACCCGCCATCATCGCCCAATAACAATCGATGGTCGATTAGTCCCACAAACAGTCATCACGGCTTCTCCACCTCGATATCCCAAGCTCGAGGCCTCAACCACGAGAACGTCAAGATGCAAAATGGAGAGACTGACAAACAAACCGAATTGCCGAATCAATCGACCTTCAGTACTATACAACTGAATGGTACGAGAATAGCGAGTAATTCAGTGCCTAATTACGAGAATATATCAGTTAATGGTAGTAATAGCATTTACGAAAATGTTGTATCACCCCAAAACAACAATCACAACAACACACTGAAGAGAAATGGTCATTTAACGAGTTCCTGTGAAGTTATCGAGAATAAACTAGCAATATCGAATGATGACTTGCTCGAGGCTATCGAGCAGTTATCAATCCTATCGAAATCCAAAGACAACTGTGTCACACCAAAAAAAAATAATACTGAAAGAGATAATGCTAAATCGAATGAGGCAAAGGCTGATAAAGAACGTAGAGAGCTCGAGGAGGAGGACAAGAAGAAATACATTGAGTTCTTGCAAAATGAGAAAGTTCACATTCTTGGGAATATGGAAATGCTGAAACGCAGTATCGCTGACATTGAGATTCAGGAGGAAGAAATAAGCAGAGAGGTAACCAGAAAAAATATCACGGTTCTTTCTTGAACAACGAATAGTCCGGTACTCTTGTGTGTTGACGGTTTGACATCTATTTTTGGAGCTAACGCTAATGTAAAAATACTATTTCACTCTTTCGTCTTGGATAATTCATACACGAGTCATTACGTCATGCTGCCTTATCTGCGGTTTTCGATGTGCCTGACTATTTGAATGAACATTCATCATTTACTCCTCTATTCCTTGTTCAACAGTTGACCCTGTGACACTCGTTATGAGTTGTTCTGTTGGCACTTAACAATTTAATTAATTTTTCTATGATTCATTTGCATTTTTCAATGGTTCTTTTCTTTTTGCGGGAGTGAGAATTAAGTGGGTAAAGTTTTTTTTTTAAATAGTTTTCACTGCTTGACAGGAGAAAATGTTTTTGTTGGCAGACACTCTGTACAAGAAATTAACTTGTGAGGTGTTGTATAATTCTACATTTTAAATAAATTCAGTGTTTTTGGAGATGAGGAGGTGGGGAATTAAGAGCATATTTTTGTGAAAATTTTACAGCTTGAATTGGAGAAAGCACTGCTGTCAGCCGAGTACGAGTCCGAATCCTTGAAACTCACTACTGATGAGGCCGAGAAAATCAGTTTGCAGATGAGAATTAATGACCTTGAACGAGAAATGGCAGATGATACTGCAAGCCAGGCTAATCTCCAGGCCGAAGCCAAAAGACGAGTGGATCGATCCCAGGAATTGTGCGACAGACTGGAAGAAGATCTCAAGTATTGTGAGGATGATAGTAAACAGCACGAGATTGCGGAAAAATTGAATGCACAGCAGGAAATCCTTGAGACTGAGCGAAAAACCTTCGAGGATCTCGAGTTTCATCATTTAGAGGAAGAAGCCAGTAAATTGGCAACGAGAGAGGAATTGCAGAGGTAAGAATTTCTGGTTCAATGGATCGTTATCAAAATGCTCGGGTTCATTGCCCAACCACCAGGTTGACTTACAAAATTGATTTCAGATATTTGAGTGAACTTTCCAACAAGATTGAAGCAAGGAGATCACAACTGAATCATCTTGAGTCTCAGAGGAGTGTTGCAAAAGCCACAGCTACTAAGGAATCTAGAACCCTTGAGAGGCAGAAGCTCGGGCATATGCGAAGACTGGAGGAAGTAATAATAAGACAAAAACCTCTTTCTGTTATTTATCTCAAGAATTTATCATTCATGGCGGGATTATTCCACAGGGTCGTAACAGAATACGTGCCATTGATGACGAATTGGAGAAATTGACGAGAAATACAGCTGATAATCCCGAGGACAAGCGCTCCCCAAGTCGAGAGGATTTCGATAGAATTTCCAGGGTCACGACCGACTCACCAATTGTTAATAATCAAGGCAGCTTGGGGAGGAAGACTATTGAGTCATTGAAGGAGATAGAGAGGAATCGCCAGCTGCATCTGGCCAAACAGGGGAGTCAGGTGATATCGGAGGAAAGACGCAGGGTTGAGGAATTGAAGAGAAGGGTGCAGGACGAAGTCAGGTCTCAGTGGGAAGAGAGAAAACTCAACTGTGCGTCTTTCAACAGCGTGGAGTCTGGTGAGGAGTCTTCGAGTTACTCCACTGGACCAACCGAAAGGTAAATAATTTGCTCATCAATGACATTTTTTTAAGCCAGAATATTTTGACCCATCAAGGAAAACATTTCCACAGAATTGATCTTGAATGAGTAGCAAAGGCGAAAGTAACGAATCAATTCAGCTATTGTAGGAGAATCCCATATTATATTCGCTCTCGTTACAGTCACACCATTCCCCAATTTCCTTTTTCGTCTATTTTTCAATCCATTGTTTTGTCAAGGGAGGAAGTGACTTCCGGACAAAATAAAACCGAAAGTACCTCAGTTTTTGAAAAATATCTCTTAATTTAATAGACCCATGCAAATTTAGGTTGATATCTTTTTTGCAACTATCGGTCCGCTTTATAAAAGAGCTCTTAACGATTCAAATTTAGCAATCTTACTTAGATTTAAAGATATACCAGAAAAGTCGACTAAGAAACTTAATGGTTTGCCCATTTTTTGTGAAAGCCTACGATTTTCTATTCTCCTCGGTCGACCTCTACCCAAATGCATATAAAGCAGGAGATTACCAACTTGGAGCATCATCATTATGCGAATTCCTCCGGTATTAGCATGCATTTAGACGCCCCAGAGTTCGATCACTCACGCCAACCCGACAAATAAAGGGGAAAAAAAAGTCCAGTTATCTGGTACAACAACGATATTTCCTTCGACTGTGTACACAGAGTGTGCTAGCCAGGCGTTGAAAAATCTATATAATCTAAACACTGATAAAAAGCCAGTCGTGTTCTCAAATTCCACATGTACAAGTAGTCTCAAATACCCGTATTATTCATCCAACATATGAGAACACGTCTCATATTTAACATAAGTAGGATGAAAAAAAATATATATCTACCTCTAAACGGCGAGATAGTTCAGTGAAATTCAGCGATCAGAGTAAGTTGGAGTGAAATATCGTGGCAGTTTCATCTCAGCAGTTTTGCTATGTGAAATTGGGCCTCACCTCGTCGTCATTGAGACAGCCATCGAGATTGGCTGAATTTTTTAAATACCCCGGAGGCTCAGCACGAAACTCCAATGCTGTGAAAACTTTCGTTGATACTTTATCCTTTTTTTTTTCTCTCGTATTAAACACTTGCGAAAGTGTGAGTCGTCTGATGGTATCGCGGATCATGTAGGTGGGGCGTGTTATCTTAGCGATACGGATATCGTTGAGTTGAGATCGGTAACGTCAATGATCCTAGTGGAGAGAGGCGGAACCGCTTCGTGACGATGATCGTGTGAAAATTGACATTTCAAAGTGGCGAAACAATTGGCAATATTTCTCTGGTTATTGGGAATTTTGGGTTTCGATGAGGATGAGATTTTGGTGGTAACTGGTGTGTGTAGGAGTGGTGTCCGAAGATGAACACCCGGGAAATGGGTGCGGCAATGATGGACGAGGCACGTGCGAGAGGATGCAACTTGATAACGATCATTACTAGTAACAAATTTTACGTTGTTACCAAGGATTGGCTCGCTGAAAATTGCTACAGACCCAGCGAGCGATGTGCACGTTACTGGTGTAATCGTTACTTGTGAGTTATCGGTGGGGAACGTTCGAAGAATGTGCAGAAGAATGAGAAAAGGCTTTTATGGGGATAGGTCATTCAATCCTAACAAAACTACACCGACAATAATTCGGTAGCCAAGTGGTGATTATCGATTGATATAATAGACTGCTCATTTCAATAGAAAATGTCAAAGACAATGACTTTGTCATAATGTTAATAAAATATAGAAAACTCCCTTAATTTTTGGATCTTACATCAATAGCTTTCGAGGTAAATCGCTGATTAAGAACAATTTTTCATTCGATTTGTCTCGGTTTTCCACTTTCCTCCTGAATTAATCTTAATTCTCAGATTGAGGCCGGGTGAATTTAATCTTGAACTAAGCGGGATAAGCTCTTGAGTCCCATTGTATGGAGAGAAGTATTTTTAATTGAAATTCCATTGACTTTTTCCGTTTCTTTTTCGTATTCAAAAGGAATTATCATAGCAAACATTAAAATGCATATTATATTGAACACATGGCGAGACCTTGAGCAAATAGGCTTCATGTTTCATGTGTGGAATCTCTGATTGTCATTATCGATTCTGATCTACTGTTTTTTCATTATTAATAGATGATGAATTTCAATCATTCTGGAATTTCATAGGTGATAATAATGTGGCCTTTTGTGCTTAGAGTGAATTTCTCAGCATTGAATGATGTGTGTTGAAATTTTATGATGCGTTGGTCAATAGCGTTGACTTTTGTGTGTTTTGTTATTTCAGTGGTAGCGGCAGTAGCGATGGGGCTGACACGGCCGCCAGTGAAAAAATGTCACCCAGTAAATTGTCCGAATTCACATCACCAAGTCCTGGACCTTCGACCAACTCCTATTCGCTTCTGCAGAGTGAAAATGTAAGTATCCGTGGACTTGAGTTATTTTCGAACGTCGATGGTTGCACACCTGTTTCAATGATAGGTTTCAACAGTATCTATATAAATTTTATCACGATTCGACAATGTGCACGACATGTGTGATCTATTAAGTTGGTTCAGTCGCTTCAGGCTTATTTACCTTCGTGACATTAATGGAGCTTCATGTCAACTCGTTTCTGCGAAACTGAAGAATTTTATAAGTCGTGAATAAACGAATGATGTTCACCGCTTGGAGATGAAAGCCGAAGGTTAAAGTGTCAGCGTGAAAATGCCTCTTTAATATCCATTGGATCATTACAAATCTTCACCACTCAACGCTTCGTTTACATCGAATATCAGTTTTGGCGTCTGCACTTGTGGCTTTATATTTTCCGCAGACGTCGAATTTCGCAAGGATTCTATCCGACATTCTGGGGCACTTTTTGCGTATTCAATACCACATGTGTTCCAAATTCACAGTCAATGGTATTTTCAAAGATGATTATTCACAGGGATAAATCTGTTACAAGGGCCCACCACTATCATCCATTCGGGGTTGCGAGTATTCCCATTTTTTTCACTTACCATGGCCGTCGAGAAATGCGCGATGACTACACATTTTTTATTGAAGAGTGTTATTTCATTTTGTAATGAGCACAGACTCAGCTTAAACGATCAATTTATTCCTCATTATTCCAGAGTTTATGAAATTACGCAAATCTTTAAAAAAATTTCTGCAACTATTCTGTAAAGTTTACCTCAACTAGATTTCATTGTCGAATAACCGAATAGATGAGTAACTTTTGTTGAATGTTTTTCTCGTGCAAGCGGGTATTTTGAAAAAAAAAACCTCGTTAGGATTATTGATCGATCCTCAATAGCCGTTGCACCCCGCAGAGAGGGGTTACTAACAAAAGGGGGTACATGAAGAATAGCTAGAGCATCGATGCGTAGACGCAAACGAGCGGACGAGCCACTGGGGTAACTTGCGCGCTGGATTTCGCCTCTGCCTCTGGTACACAATTTTCGCTTTTATTTAAACAGAAAAAGAAGTGCAATTCGTGAAAAAAAAGTGCGCACAGTGAGATAATAAACATAGAGCCCACTCGTGCGTAGATATGAGAGTTTTGTGAATATCCATATGCAGAGAAAAACCCACGCATATTCATACCAACCGAGAAACCTCGTAATATCGAAAATATTCAAAATAGTTTAGTAGCATTCTGTTTGCAGACATTTGAATCTAAATTTTTCAACAACAAAAATTTAACGGCTGACTCATACGAATAACACAGCTCCCTGTCGTGGGTGTTTTTGGTATACCGTTATTTTAAAATAATTTTCGTCCCTGAATAACAAGTCGTGAATCCTGTGAATGAGACTCGTTGTGTCTTGTGGTAGATGAGGGTGGGAGGGCGGTTTTTCATTTCTTTTTCAAGCGGGCAAATACCCTCGGGTGGGGATGAATATGTGTACGTGTTGAAACGAGTGAATAATAACTGTACAAGCACTCCCGAAACTCTCAGTTGCTACTATACCTCTCGGTGTACAGCACGTTTGGATTTTTTTATTTATTCTTTCATCGGTTGATTTTATCCTCTGGAAAGTGAAGATTTCATTTATGTTAGAAAGCGTAATTACCGTCCCAATTACCGTCAAGTTCGGGATATTGCAATCATTTTGTGAATTATGAATTATTTTATCGTTTGCTGATTTTAGGACGTTGAAAATCAAACAATGATGAACAAATAAAGAAATAGAAAAGATATAAGTATCAGTAAATTACATTTGGATCAGTAATCTATTTCAATTGGATACACGAGACAAGTCAAATAAGTTTCATTACTCTGGTCTTCGTTAATCGATAGTATTTTTCCAATAACTGCTCCTAAAAATGTCACTCATGTGGATGAACTACATGAAAGCAACGTGCAAAAAGAAACACCTGAAAAAGCGACGTGTAAGTTATAGAACTTAATCAAGATACACAACTAATGAAAATTCACCAGCAATAGTTAACACCTGTGTAGCAATTTCTCTTGAACTTCCGGATTACCACCCAAATTCATCGTACCAAATAACATACTAGTGTTTATGGGTTTCGCTTGCCAAAAAACCAGTCGTGTCATAATACGCACGAGAGTTGTGAATTTTGATACAAGCCGGAGATTATAATAGGAAATATGAAAATATAAAGAACAATGTTGGTGGCATCCCAGAAATTCTGGTAAACGTATTTAGATGATGCCTATAAATATATCAAAAATGTACGACTGATTTCAATTGTATCCGACAACCACTGATAGTATGTTTGAGTTAAGGAAAAAAACAGAAAGAATCACGAGAGAGCAAAATTTTCGAAATATGCAAAACATAAACAAGAAAATTATTGTTCTCTGCTATTTCGCGAATTTGCTGAATGCACATTCATACGTTTACATCTCATACATAGGTATTATAAATACTTGTCCCCGAGAAAGTGATCATTCTGACCTCCTGATAATTTTGAATTTTCCTCGATATGAGGGACATGTGTCGAACATAAGGCACTTGTGCTGTGTGGCTCGTCCACTGGTGACCTTCCCTCATTTTTTCTTTTTATTCAGCAGATGCGAGATGATAGGAGAAGCTCAATGGAGGGTGAAAGACTCAGTGGGACTAGTGTTGGGCTAGCCGATGGCAGTGGAAGTCGCCCACTTTCACAAACCTCCTCTGAAATGGACAGTGTGCGCTCTCTGCAGACTGTTAAACATCGAGATAAGCCAAAGCTCCAGGTACATAAGTAACCAGATACATAATTTATTTCGCCCCATTTATTATGGCTCCACGGTGCACTGGAATTGGAGTGAGAGTTTTTATTTTTATCTTTCGAATATTTCAGCGTCCACTGACGAGATATCTCCCGATAAAATCAGAATCCCTGGATCTGAGACATCATATTGAAACTGCTGGGCATCAGCTCCCTCTCATCCATGATGTCACTGTCGACACGACAACGTGCGCCGGATATTTGTCGAAGATGAGCAAGAAGTTCCATCACTGGAACAAGCGCTGGTTTGTCTTCGACAGAAAACGCAAGACTCTATCATACTTCAGTGATAGCCACTCCAAGAAGGCTCGAGGGCTTATTTACTTCCAGGTGAGCATATATGAAGATATTCCTCGAAAATTTCACTACGCAATAAAGCGACTTGTTATTTTTTCCCTGTGCACTCAAAAATTGCGTAAAGTGAATGTCTTGAGAGCTGACGTTTCTTCAATACTCCACATATTTACACATCTGATTACATCTACATGGAATTAATGATTTACAAAGGCTGACGCATCTCCTGCCACTCCTTCCCGCGATAATAATGGAATTCCAAGGGAATTAACGAGCGTTCTTTTTAATTTTTCAGTCAATTGAGGAAGTTTATGTGGATCACATGAACACAGTGCGCTCTCCCCAGCCATCTCTAACGTTCATAATAAAGACGTCAACACGATTGTACCATCTCATGGCTCCAAGTCCAGAGGCAATGAGAGTTTGGGTGGACGTTGTCTTCACTGGTGCCGAGGGATACCACGAGTTCGATCATGGCGTTTGACAGGGACCAACGACTGCTCCATTCACAGCAGGATCTCTCTACAGGACCACTAAGGACTCACCTTTGTGCCTGAAGAATTTAATCTTCAAATTCTTCGATTGAATTTATTTGAAAAATGGAAATTCCTCCAAAGAGCAGTTGATCACCGCAACGCGTTTCTCCCACAAATTTTCGAGATGCGGACTGTCTTCGGTGTTTCACTTTGTTGACGTACAATATTTTACTCATTGACGATGAAATCTTTGCACGTATACTACACAAGCATATGGTGCCAATTTATTTGATAAGAAAATTGGAGAAAGCACGGAAAGTCTTGTTACGCGCGTATTATATTGACACTACTATTTTCTAATAGATAATTAAGCCTAGTATACGTTGAATCGTAGAGAATTTTAATCTAGTCTTCCAACAAGTAATTTTGATGCAGTTGGTATCGACGAGAAGACAACACTGTCCGATTTCTCGGAACTTTTATGGCGTATACTGAAACTGTATGGAAAACTGGAATGAACCAGAAGAGAATTTCATATTGGAATTTGTGATGATGAAGACGGATTTTGACAGAAATGAGGCTCGCATGATTATGAGAAAACGTTTAATTTTATACATATGATGCAATATGTATGCGCATTCTGTACTGTTCGATCGAGTTTTAATGAGATTGATTGATTAATTCGTACGTCGTTTGAGGACTTTAAGACCAATAAACGTTATTATCATTTCTACAGAAAATGTAGACATTTTTTATTCACCCTTCAACCAAATCATGAAACATAATGTTAATAATTATGGAATCGTCATAATTAAATGAAATGATTCATTTAATTAGGAAGTAGATGAATTAGATACATATATCGATTTCCTCTAGAATAAAATGTCTAATCAAAATGATAACTAATTACGTAAATGTGATATTGAATTGATCGGGTCCCGTTATTTCTCTCATTTCACTCATTTCTTCGCTGAAAAATATTCATTGGTAACTGCATGTAAAAGGAAGGACTTGAGGAGGTTCACTATTTCACTGAGATTATTTTATAGGCATTCGTTACCCTCGAACATCTGTCGTTGAAGAATCCGTAACGGCACGTGGCATGTTCCTCGATACGCCGTTAAGGAAGTATCACCCTCCAACGGCAAAAAGGGCTCGTCACAGATGTCAACTGCAACCGCATCTTCTTGCTCTCAACTGCTCATCGTTTTTCCCCATAAATCATGACTCTGTACGTTATTTTCATCTTCAAGTTATTCCCAATCAAGTCGATACGTTCGTTATACCTTTGGTATTAAACCGGCGCATCTGCACCGTCTAATATGGCATCCACTGGTCTTTTTGTTATTTTCCACGGGTGACTCAGGGTTATCGGTTAAAAAACCCGTCGACTCACTTTCATCGACCCGGTTTGAATTCCGTTTATTTAGCACTGACGCAGGGGAAATTATTTTCAAATAATGAGAATGAAATCAAGACCCAGTGGAATAAAACGAAATTGAAGTACCATTTTTCAATTGGCCTGTACAGAAAGGTAAAATGGAATAATAATTATCAATTAAAATAATCCATCAACGTATCTCGAATGATTGGAATTGAGTGAGTTCGTTCAGTGCATGCAGAGTGGAAAAATTCTACAGTTCTCACTTCCTTTCCCCCACCTGGAGACACTTCCTCGAAGCATATAAACTACTCGTTTATTTCATATTCTACGAAGAAATCTTGCTCCTCCTCGATTCAACTGAAAATTCTTTAAATGGTCACCTCATTTTTATGCTCCTATATTTTTTTCCCCTTTTTTTAAAGCCCATTCATCATTCTGGAGTGTCGATCTACTAGAGAGAGATTGCCACACTGCACAGGAAATAATTGACTTTAAAAATGTATTCAAAAATATCTGAAATTCGATTTGTAGAAAATTAAATTTATGTTTTGCATACATTTAATATTTATTTCGTGTATTTTCTCATCGCATATTATTTAAATTCCAATAACTCCCCTAAAAAACCCAATTAAGTCCTCAGGTGAAGAATTCAAGGTTGACTCCCTCTCCAGCCGCCGTAACCTTGACCCTGCATCTCCTTTGCATTTCATGCCCTGCGAACATCTCGCCATCTCGAAAGTCCAACTACACCTTTGAAATTTTTCAACTAAAAAATTTTTCCGTCAAAACTTTGAAAATCTCTAACATGTTCCCTCCGGTAGCTCAATCAACTTCTCCCTTAAAACTCCATAAACTCACGTCAACATTCTAAAAAAAGGTTAAATTTAACATCAATGTCCCCACGAGAACAGCAGGAATTCATTTGAAATTTCCAGAAAATTCCATAAACCTCGGAATTCCGTTCTGCCTTGAAACTCCGGGCCCTCTTTTCGAGGTGATTAAAATCCTCTTCTCATTTTTTACCTAAAAAAAGTATAATAATTGGCACACATTAAAGTCGAATAGCTCTCAATTGAAATCGAAGGTCTCGTCCATTGATGGTGCGATATCAGTAGCCTATGAATCACATCCTCGTAATAGCGTGAAGAGTCACTCAAAAACCGTATTCGACAGTGTACGACCTAATTGTTGCATTAAAAACGAACTGGTGGTTTTGTTAATCCTGGGATATTGCCTTAAGCCGTGGATCCCTGACCGAAGAAACCGCTGAAGGACCGGTTCCAAGGACACTCGAATTCTCCGTCGGTGTGATGTCACCTCCGGTGAAGAAAGGTGAAGTGGGCCCACGTGCCCAGTATGAAAAAATAAAATTATAAAAAGACGTGTTCCCAGGTCGGGGGCCCCTTCGGGTTTGAGAGAAAAAAAAACCATCGGCTTGTACGTAATGCCGGTATTGGGCGGGGAACTTCACCCGCTTGCTCACCAAACTCCCTTCCTCGCTGACGATTCAGTCCAACTCCAACTGTCGAACAGGATAGAGCCTTCTTCTTAACGCGCTCAGTACAAATAAACCTCGAAATCCAGTGATTTATATCCTAAATCCATATCCCAATTATCTTGAAGTTACCTTTCAACACATTTCTGGGGAAAAATGGCGTGCAACAGAGCAACTAAATCTGGATTTGCCGCTGAGGCCCAGAGAAAGGTGAGCAAAATTATACCAATTATTTTATATTAACTATTCTACTCACGTATACATCAACTATTCACCAACTATTCACCAACTATTCACCAACTATTCACCTCTTGTATTCAGTTGACGATTGCGATAATAGGCTTTGCATTTTTTTGTGAGAATTTTATAACACGCACGGGAAATTGACAATTACGCATTTGACGTCATCACCCTTTAGTGCACCAGTGGACAAAAACAACCCCCGTGCCACCCTGACCCAGTGAGCCCGGCTGGCAGCCTCTCCTTCCACCCATCTTACCACCCACCTGCACCCTTCCACTGATAACCTACTTCCGTGAAAATCGAAGAGATTACACCAATTTTTTTTTGCTTCCCCACCAGTTTTCATGTTTTTCATAGATTCCTGGTAATCTGTTAATCAGATTAATGTCAAATAAATGAACTTTTTTAATTACAATCATTACTCAATGACTCACGAACTTTTAATACCATCCGACTATTTTTTGATATTTTACATTTTTGTAGTATGGACTTTTTGATAAATTCATAGAACTTTACAAATGCCAGCTTTAAAATGGATGAAAATAATTCAATGACTCGCCAATTTTCGCGAGTCATTGAATAAGGAGAAAATTACAAAAAAAACATGAAATGATGTGATGAGTATCATCTGTGACCAGGATCGGTTGATAATCGAGATTAGGAGCGGTAGAAGTCTCCTCGCATTGATACCGATTTTCTGATCGTTGTTACTATTTTTTGGATCTGATTAATTTATTTTAGATTGTCTTTGGGGCTTATTGGATGGGTAATGATTGCTGGAGTACTTGAGCAACAGCTGGTAGCCGTGAAGAATTAAAACATTCGGGTCCCCCAAAGAAGGGAGCGTCCCTGAAACTCGTTTGCCGTGGAACACTTATTCTCATGGGATTCTCTCAATTTTCATACGCAAACTATATTCTCCTTATCTAACAAATTACACTTGCGATATTTACCATCGCCGTACTCGTTGATGTCAAGCATTGTGTACCCAGTGCCGAATAATTCCGAAATGAGTTGAATAAATTACAGCTACTCCGAGAATTTCGCAACCGATCAATACGGATTGTTACGTCATTAAAATATGTGAAGAATAAACTCATCGGTGGAAATAACGTCGATGTGTCGATATTTGTATTATCGACTCTGCGATAATGAGGACGTAAAACGATTGGAAACAATTAACTGAATATTGTGGACGCGATGGATTGGCATTTTGGATACACTGTTGGAAATTTTCGGAATTCACTGGAATAATTGCATCTCACGTCTTAATAACGCGGATATCAATTCAATTTCAGGTGCGATCAGCCATGAAAACTATCACTCATCTAGAAAATTTATGAAAATTTAATTTTTTATGGAAAACGATCAGCGACACGAAAGACCACTTGCATTGCAAATCTCATTATGAAGTTTCAACATTAAAATTAGAAATTAGAATCTCGGTGAATAGTGGAGACAATACCTAATTTGTCAGCAACAAAATTAACATAAATTTTACGTGAATTTCTCTTTAAGGAAAATTTCAAGATTTTACTTGAGATTTCTAGAGCAATTGTCTACCAGCATACACTCCAGAATTTCTGAATTCTCAATTTAATCAGTTCAAAGATTTGTCGAATGGGAATAACCGGTTTTCCGCAGTTAAATGTTTTTAACGCTGGGTAAAAAATATTGAAAATATAGTGGATTGGTGTAAACTCGGTAATTTTATGGTCTGCATGTTATTCCAGGCGATATTTGCCTTGGCGTCAAGCGCATTAAGCCAGCACTGTGAAAACATACACCGGCCCAAACTCTTTGCTGACTTTTATCAGCAATCGTGAGGCTACGTTTTAAATTGTCGTCTCGTTGGAAAACAATGCCTACTAGACAGCATTCTTTCGATGAAAGCAAACAATAACGTCTCGACGTTCTTGCGTCTTGGAAAAATATTTTTGTGGATCCATTCTGGCTGCGGTTCAAGCTCGAAAGGCCCTTTTCAATATCGAGATGCAGCGAATAAAAGTGAGTGAAAAAAATTCTACAATCGTGACCAAACGCAAATAGGCTCTGGAGATGTTACTCTCTGATGAAACACTCGGTTTTTTTTTCACTGTATTTGGAGGCCAGACACAGAAGTACAGACACACACACACATGTTTACTGAGAAATTACAGAGTCCGTGACCAGCGAAGATAGGCTTATCGCTGAGTGGAATGTATGGGCTCAAAGCTATCACAGTGCTTCCTCTATTTTTTTCTCTTCTTGTCAACGAATGAAAGACTGAACCACTCGCGAAATCACTCTGAATCCTCACAATCTAGAAATATTATCAGAAAAAAAAATCTGTCTATGATGCTTCCAATTTTACCTGGGATCATCATTTCGTTTTGATCCTTGTCTCGTAATATTCCATTTTCAAGCCTTTTCATCTCCAGTACTTCTCACAATTATAAATCATGAAGATTTTGGGATTGCTGGATTGTTCCAATTCATTAATTTGTTATTTAAGAAAAAGAGAATGGGAAAAGGTTCTGATTACATCCTCTATAATAGGACACTTCTCAAAATAACGGTAAAAATCCGTTAGATCTCTACAGAATAAAAACTGGCTTTGAATATCGGGAGAAAGAGAAATTCAATTTATGGAAGCTGTGAATATTCAATTGAGCTCATGGAAATAATCCATGGTCCATAAAATTACTCAACAGTTCCGTTTATGACGGGAGTCAGAAATTGATAATTAATCGCCATAATTTGACAGTGAAAAACAAACTTTTTCTTTCTGTTGAATTTCATTCTATTCCTTTCCATTTCGATTTTGGGGAAAATCAGCCTGATGAGAAACTTCTCACAATTATAAATCATGAGGATTTTGTGATTTCTGGATTGTTCCCTTCAACAATTAATAGGCGCTCCACCGTAACTACATGGCAATCACTGAAGAAATGTTTATCCACACAACTACTGATAAAACTGTTTGGAAAAATGCACACGTTAATTAAAACGCTTCGGTACTTAAAACTGGAATGAATAGCGGCTTTAGTGTTTTAAAAATAGCGCACAGCGGAAATCCGTTGGAAATACCGGAAATGTGGGTCCCTTCTGGAGGACTTATCAAGGGTCTTCTTGTTCTGGTCTAGTCAATACCACCCGCATCAGCCAAATCAAGTTTATTCTCATTAGGAAGTGCCTGTGATGTGCGATTATCAGTGAAACCAAACTACATCTAACCAATTCACTTTCTGATTCATTGAATAGATCAAATATTTATTTATGTCAACCCCTGACTCTATCGAATGTGGAGAACACTTATGATTTCACTTCGGTTGAAATGTTGATCGTAAACTCGTTCGATTTTACATCACCTCGAAGCACGTGTTGTCTACTGTCATGTTTATATCTCGTGATCTGCTATTCGGATACGGGGGCGATGAAATTGACAACAAAAGGTTGAGGTTAAGTCGAAGGTGTGATAAATTCTCTCGAGAAAAATAAAATAACATTTTTCTTCTTTCCATGAAGAAATATATCAAAACCAATGAACAATTTCCGAAAAATGGTTTGGGAAAGTTTTATGATTATTCAATTTACCAAAAATTTTCGAGAAATAGACGCACAACTACGGAAATTTGTGAGCTGTTGAATAGTGAGTAGATCTCTCTATAATCCAGTGATCTTAAAGTCTCGTTCAAAAAATTCTTTTGTACGGGATTCTCAGATCCGAGAGACTTGCCTCCAAGGTTATTTTCCAAATTCCTACAAATTCTCTCTGGAGATATGTGCCTTCACCACTTCAATTTAACTTTGTTTTTTCCTATAAAGATAAAAAATGAAAAGAGGAAATGGTTGTGAGACAAACCGCATAGAATCGGTCAATCTCCGGCCCTGGTGAGGAATAATATACGGGGATTTACGTTGATGGTTACCGTATGTGGGGAGAAGTCGCTCTTTCATTTTACAAGCATGTGGCTAAGATATTTGAGCATGAGTCACGCATAGATTCTTCCTTATGTCATATTCGGGTTGAGACCGGACCAGTCGGATTCAATTATTATCCACGAGGTTGGATATTTTTTTAATCGTTAACGGTCAGCTGCTCAATCTATCGTAAACACATGCCCCCGTGAGACTGTGCATGTATGTCAAGCTAAAGTTACTGATCATGTCACTGAAAAGCTTAATGAACCAACTCTTGCTACTCTGTCAAATATTGACGTGAAAATTTTGCGCAACACTCGTTCGTTCGTTATAATTCCAAAAAAGTTAGGCTAAAAAAAGTGTTTAATTAAAAAATTAATAAACAATGGCCTTCAACGCTCCCTTCAATCCCAGATATTTTATTAATATCTATTACCTTATTAAACGCTAAATATCATGATTTTTACAGTGAAATACATAGTATTATAAAATCACAATAAATTATAATACTATGCGATATTTTATTTGGATTTATTAATTTATTTATGTGATTGTCTATTTAAAGTTTGATGCTAGAATCACTGGAAATCCATAATTCTATCTCGATTATTACTGCAATTACTCCATGAGGCGAACATGATAACGTGTTTTCATATAATTTTTATCGGTTATAATGACTTATTTGGAACAGTCTCTGTTCTTAATTCTTTATTTCCTGTGCTCGAGATCCTATTGTTTCGAGGGACTCAAGAAGTCCATTACCACTTAAGGGCGAACAGGTTGGCGTGACCAAAACTGATGAACTAATTGCAACGTCGAAACATGATTTAATTGTTACTCCCCTAAATTTCCTGTACCGAGACAACAAATCGTCAGAGAAAAGTCTTCATTTATGGCAATTGTAGATCTCTAAGGCCGTAACCGAGAAGTATTCGGCTATAGTAATCCACTACGAAATATTCTTACCACAAAGTTTACTCCCCTGTATTCACGATTCTTAACGATATAATTAGAATGAATGGGCACTACTGCCTGACACTATCACTTAATCCGCAAACATTTCAGTCCATTGTTCCATTGTCGGAGCAATTGATTTGTCTATAAATTTCTACAGCTATCATCCGATGATTCGATGAATAAATCAATTCACTGAATCAATTCGTTCTCATTCCCATCATACTACCCTGTTTGTTTGTATCGTTTTCTGTTTATTCCCACTGGTTTTCTCCTTCGACGCCTTTTTTAGGTGTTTCACGGTGCGACCTTGCGAATTAAATGGATTATTCCACCGGAATCCCGGGGAAAGATGCTGGCATTCCGGTTTTTGATTTAAAGATGAAAAAATCTTCGTAAAATAGAGCTGAACAGCTCGCCACAATCTGTAAAAGGACAGACCAGTATAACCAGACTCGGTGCAGCCTTCGTCGTATCCTGATGTCTCCCGGTATTCATTTTTACGCTCAGTACACTCTGTACAGTGATCTTACGCAATTGTCTCGACCTTATAAAGTGGGTCAATGGTTTTGCCCGCGACTTCAGACACATTTTCTGATAAATTCGAGGGTATTGTTTTTTCATTAGTCGAACTAAAGTCGCTAATCATGGCGATGAGAGTACATGCCTTATCTCTGACAGCAATCAATAATGAGTAATGTTGATTACCTATTGGCTGGAGCGCAAGGCTGATTGGGAACATGGCCAGCTTAGGACTTTGATCGAGGGACGACCAGTATGCGTCATGAAATTGTAACTCGATTACGCCTCTATAGGAAACTAGTCTGTACAATAGCTACGCTCCGATTGCCCCTCCGACAGTTGATAAATAATCAATTGTCGAGGGTCTTCCAAAGATAATAATCACTCACCATCATATCTCTTTCGCATACGATTGATAAACATTGAAATCACTTGGAAAGTCATTTCTTTGTGTTGATAATGTTGAAGTTCGATTATAATTTATTTATAGCTATATCTATTCTAATGTTGAACAAAACAATTTAGTAGCGAAACGGGTAAATGATTTTTTGTCGAGTTAGCTGAGTTTCCATGGAATAGTTCCGAGCCTAGAGGAGATAGCGAAATTTTCGTAATTACATTTTTTAGAGCTTTCGTTGAGCTCCACAAAAAAGTTAGTACAAAAGTTTTTAAATCTCCCCTTGGTTTGGAGATATTCATTAAAATGTGGGTTAAATTAATTCTTCATTTACCTGTCTTAAATTGTAAGGTGTCGCCGGGTTGTTGTAATTCTCTCGGTATTTCCAGGAAATAATCTCATTGACCTTGACTTATAAGTCAGATAAAGCACTCTCAGGGCGTTATTAAAAGGACCGAATGTTGTGCTCGTTGAGACAATATTGCGGTTATGGTGCAGTAAGGTTAGAGATTTTAAATTGCTCCAGCTAGAGCTGTACTTGTTGATATAATACACCTACAATTTCTCGGATATAACTCCCAAGAATTTTTAATATCTTTCTCAGTCGGCAATAAAATTTTTTGTACACTCGAATTTGTCGAGTGAGTTTGGACTCGACAAAGAAATCTTTGAGGAGTCATGTGAGTTCATTGCCTCTGGGGAACCAGTCCTCTTGAATGGACCAAAGACCAGAGACCAAAATGAAAATGTTTCTCTCTTTTTCGATCTGTCGAAATAAATGAATTCCAGGACCTCGCGAAATTCTCTGGTCGACGGGCTTTCGTGGAGGATGCACTTCCTGCATTCCAATTGTAGAATGCTGGAGTGAAAGTAAATGTTCGATGGATTCTCAAGAGAACGAGTTCTTATTGGGGTTGTAACCCTAGCAAACGATTACCCAGGAGTTTTTGATTTTGAGGAGAGTGGGTGAATTATGGCTGGGAGAGTGTTCGTCGGTTTCTATTTTACTGAATAAATTGAAATTTCTAATGGTGATACTCTCGCTTCGCATGAATTTTTGCCATCATTTTTTGCTGTTGAAAAATTTATACTTCATTTTTGGAGAAAGATGTCTGCAATAGAAACTGCAATAGAAAATTTGTACCATTACGGATGGATTAAAAAAAATACTATCCATAATATTCCCAATAGGATTGGCACCAATTTTTGGATATCATCGGTATGATGGAAGAATCGGAAAAAATTGGAAAAATTAATGCAGAAATCCTTAAAATTTTGAAATATCACAATTCACGGTTGACCCAGAGGGAAACGTCGACTTTCACCACTTCTCGCGGGAAAATTTTATTCGTACATGTCTGCATAACTGAATAAATGCATTCAGAGAAGACCAATACCTCTCATCTGAATAATTAGTTGAGAATACGTCGACAAATGCATTGTGCTGGTCATGAGATACTTTCCCGAATATTGAGAACAGTATGCATTGCTTCATTGCGAAAGGCCTAATGCTCCTGTCGAATTATTATACAACATCGGAGAGTCAAGAAAATTTGTATAACGGAATACTTTCAAGTCACGGAGGCAAACGTCAGCTGTTAGACACTCGATTGAACCTCGAGCCAACGAAGAGGACGATAGTACCGGTTTTAATTTTCCAATGAATTCGTAATTAATTTGCCATGATGAGCTGCCAGTCGACCCGTTAGCATCTACTTTCAAAATCGACTTAATAATCATTTGCACGCTCTACCCAATACGATAGCAAAACCTGTTATCAGATGAACAGTCAAGATGTTAAGATTTTATCAATGAATGTGTCAGATAGAAAAACACTCCTTCACTCTTAATTTTACCACTTGTCACGATATACAATTGATATTTTCACCCTCAATTGGATTGAAATCGCCGAGATATGGAGAAGGAAATGGATAAATGGAGTAGACGAGACATAAGGTCGATGACATGATGCAAAATGGTCACGTTTTTCAGCCCCTACAGGATGTATTACTTGGAAACTGGTATAATTAATAAAATGGGCTGCTGTTTGTGCGTGAAAAATACGGGAGTTTTGTGTTTCATGCCAGAGGGGAATATAATTGTGTGATGAAACCCGTGTGAAGTCATTAACATCGTCCGGCTGATTTTTATTATTTGTGGTGCAATAGCTGTGAATAGTTCTGTTATGAAGATTTTATTTTGTTAAATGTCAGGCAATTTATCCGTGTCTGATTTTCCTATTACTGATCTCGTATAAGGAGATAATAAAATGTTATAAGCTAATGGCGATAATGGTTTTTTATGGAAAAAAAATGCTTAACGATACGCTACAAATGGAGTTTATCACCTCAGAACGCGTGATGTGACATCACATTTAAAAATATCCCCCCATAATGATGATGTTTTTATAATCGACTGGTGACGCTGTACTAGTATATCAATTAATTATACCTCATATTTCGGTGGTTCACAGGTCAACAGCAAGTATAGCGAGGAATTAGCTCAGGAATGTCTGGAATGGATCAAAACAATTACCGGAGAAAATTTGAATACCAGTGGAGATATGGACAATTTCTATGAAACACTTAAGGATGGAACTCTGCTGTGCAGGTAATTACTTGTAATTGGATTGAAAATTAGTGCGTAATTGGCTCGGTGGAGTTGAATTTCGTGAGGACACTTGATAAAATTTAATTATTCCTGTGTAGATTGGTGAATCACGTGCAAGAGGGATCCGTGAAGAAAATAAATCAATCAACGATGGCTTTCAAGTGCATGGAGAATATCAATGGGTTTTTGGAAGTGGCGAGAGGGTTGGGAGTACCTCCACAGGAGACATTCCAGACTGTTGATCTTTGGGAAAGACAGAATCTTAACTCAGTCGTTATTTGTCTGCAGTCCCTCGGGAGAAAGGTGAAACTCATTAAATGCTAATAAATCGATTGAATCAGTTGAATTGATGAATATCGACGGATTTCCATATTTAGTTGTTTTCCGTTTGTAAATTATTGCGCTGATGAGTTATTTCGAGATTGATTTGTGCAGTAATTGCTTGATTATATCGATGAAGTAATTAGCTTCTCTCGAAATTTGAGACTCGGCATTCTTAAGATCTTGTTTACTGAACCTTCTTTATGATTGTAATTATGGTATTTATGTTCACAGGCTGGCAACTATGGAAAGCCGAGTATTGGACCGAAAGAGGCTGACAAAAATGTTCGTAAATTCACTGATGAGCAGCTGCGTGCTGGACAAGGTGTAATTAGCCTTCAATACGGCAGCAACAAGGGTGCCAATCAAAGTGGCATAAACTTTGGAAATACTCGACACATGTAAATTCTGTCTCCCATCACTCAGCCAAATTCCCGTTTTATTTTTCACTTTTCTTTTCAAATCATGGGTAGAGATGATTAATTTCTCATTTGTAATGCTCTTACAAATTTTTTTCGGCTACTGCATACTACTATGCTGATATATTTTTTTTATGTTTGAATCGGAAAGATATTTTTCATCTTCAGTAAGGGTCCACATAATTAGTTTAATCAATTATCGATTAGAATTCGTAGACGTTGGTGCCATTTTTGGATGGAAACAATCAATCAAAATTTATGCCTCTTAACAAATTGACGTTTTGTGGGATCATTTAAATAAAAAAAAAGGAGAGAATGATAGGAGGTAAAATGGACCATGCTCTTCTGTAGTCAAAAACATGTCAATTTTCATGACTTAAAAATAATAATCCTGTGACAAAATAATTCGTACAGCAACCGACGAGGTACATAATTTTTAAGGAATGAACTCATATTATTTCAACTATGGTATTGCCGTTGGAAAAAACTTTCAGTTGTGTTTGGAGAGTTGATAACGGAGAAAACAAATTTTATGCATTGGATCCTCATTTGCACATCAGTTATTATTATTTGTAAGAATATATATTATGTATGATAATAGAAAACGATTAACTTAAGTATTTTGTACAAACATCTTTTTGGTGAATTATTGAAGAAAATACATAACTTTCAGATTGTATTTAAAAGTCTATCAGGAATAAAAACATTTATCAGAAATTAGTAAACAGATATTTCTTTATTCCATTCATTCATTTAAATAAAATTTCTAAATTAGGTTTTTGTATCAACCGCTTATCGCTGAAATGGATAATAATCCAGACCTGAATTCGGATTCCAAATTTTAGTGAATCCACGTTTTTGGTTTGCAGCAATTCTCATCAGTTTCTGCACTTCAGGTCTAAAAAAGAAAAATTGAAGTATGAAAATTTAATTGCTGTATACATGCCATTTGACACATAATTATTTAACAAATTATTCATTTAAATAATCAAATGCTCACATTTTCGGAAAATATATCTATAATTATTATAATAAATAATTAATATCATTATAGTCATTACAATTATGACGATTCAATTTTCGTGAAATTTTTGTAAAGAACTCGAAAATTTGTTAAGTTTTATTTGTTAATAAAATATCTTTGAGATACCTATCGGAGGGTGGCAACATCTCCTCATGCCAAGTACATGGTTCAGGGTTATCCTCGTCCTTTTTATATACTCGACTCCTCACCACGTCGACATCACGACCGTACTCTTCTAGAAGATCTTCGAGCTTCCTCGGAGGGGCATCGAAGTGAAAAATGAAATAAGATGCCTTACGATGGACCTTGTTATGAGCCGACATTTTATACGGAGTTACGATTTCCCCCAAATTTTCGATTTTTCGAATGACACCGCCTCGATCGAAGATACCATTAGCTACTCGCTTCAATGTAGCTGTGATCTGTGGCTATTATAGCGGATAAAATAATGAAATAGTAGAATTAAAAAAAAGGAATTTCAATAAGGCCGAAACTAAGGAAAGATTCAATCTCGGGCATTTTTTCAAGTTAAAAAATACAATTAGATAATAATAAAACCATGGATAATTTATTGATTAATTAATCAATTTAATTTTTTGGTTTAATTAAGAAGTCATCTAATAAATAACCGAAATTCATGTAACCCCAACAATGCGAATTTAACCTCGACTTCCTTCCTTCCAAAATTTTTATTTACCTTCGGCATGACACGTAATATGAGGGGCAGTTCGTATGTGGGCATTTTGCTGATGAGTTATGAACTCGTCCGCTCTATCAATACTTTCCCCGATTTATTATCAATTTTTATTGAGTTTTCCACCCAGAACAGAGGTTATAGGGGATAATACTAGCGCTTATGCAGACTACAACAAAAAAAAATCATAGCCTCACATCGATCTGTGATACACCCAAAGAGGATTGACTAAAGTAGAGGCTCAGTTCTGGGGGCTTGAGTGACCCCAGCGGCATCGTAGTACTGCACCCCAAGAGAGGGAGGGCGCCACAGGCAATGGGAGTGTCTATCCCTCAGACATCCCTCAGACTTGGTACTGCCTCAGTAGCAATCCCGCTGTCAAAGGGACCAGTTGACAGGATGAATGTTATTTTCTGCGTTACTGCGTCAGCTAGTCCTTCTGATAGTGGGAGTGTTACAGAGGCAGTGACCGAGTTGGCTGATAGGAAGACATCTCCATTGTGTGTGGCGCCCTCCCTCTCTTGGGGTGCGGTACTACGATGCCGCTGGGGTCACTCAAACCTCGAGAACTGAGCCTCTACTTTAGTCAATCCTCTTTGGTATCAACATTGGAGATTGCCAGCATGACAAGTTGACGCAGAATTCAGAAATGAGCCGGAATTTGTTGACTGCAGTTGATTTCAAATAAATGTTAAGTGCGTAGAACTCAATAGTTAGTGGATCCTATTATTATGGTAAGTACATCGACCACTTATCATTTCCCAATCATCCTGACTACTGCCTCTGAGATGGAGAACCATAGACATTGTAACCTGGTCACTGCCTATAAATTGCAAATCAATGATAAATGTTTCCCTTTTTTTTCACAGTCGGCTTTATTCAACTTTCAAAGTCTTATGACTGTCATCTTACTCCTGATATGCACATGTGCCTACGTACGATCGGCAGTCCCTAGTTTATTGGACCGAAAAAAAGTCGGGTAACTAATCATCATGACAAAATATGGATTCACTAGCAGAAAAACAAAAGTAAAGAGTCGATTTGAGGAATATCTTGAAATCTGATTCAGATTTTTCATTCAGACATATTTCTTGATATTTCTACTGTAGAAAAAGTTGATCTGTCACCGCTCACCTCTTCATTATTGTACTGAAGTAGTACTTCATATCTTATTCAATTGTTCTGTATTTATAAATTTATTTCTTCTAGGGCTATGGGAATATTTTGGAAATGTGCAAGAATCGGCGAACGAAAGAGTCCATATGTTGCTTTTGGCTGTCTCTTCATGGCATTCACTATATTATTTTGGTCCTAGAGGTGGTGAGAGCATGAGGAAAATGATATATATGATTCCACAGTTGGAGAGTGAACAAACAACTTTAATACAGAACGAAATTCATCAAAACAACATAAATATACGAAACCAATAGAAACGATGACTTACATTTTTTTCAATTTATTTGTCAACACCTAACGCCTGCAAAGCTAATGTATATCCAATTTGAGCACATTCTCCCATTCTTACATGTATATCTTAGAATATATATAATTCTTTTTTTACTATAAACAACAGAATGCTTATGTACTCATTTTATATCCATAGGTACTACATTTCTCCAATGTATTGAGCATCGTTCGACAGTACATCTAATTCATTAGACAGTTACATTGATCATTCATCATTTCATTCTATCATACAATGTATATAGTTACTACTATGCCCTATACTTTGTGGAACATTACAACTGATATGGTCTTAAATTAGGATATGTGTTTATTGATATTTACAAATTAATGAATAACATTTTATAACGACGTGCATAAACTTCGTTGTCTATGTGTCAAGTCAATGTAATTCTCGTTAAACTGTACAAAACAAACTGTAAAACTCTCCAGTTTTTATTAAACCGCAAAGCATAGGGCTACATGTACGAAAAAAAAAGAAAGGAAAATATCGTGACTCCACCAAATTCTCATAAAACGTTATGATTTTTCGTGCCATAATTTCTGTAGAAAATTTCGCTTGCTCTTATATTTTTTATAGTTATTCAATAAAAGGAATCAATCCATATCGGTTTTTTAAATTTTCCGGTGAATTATCCAATTGACAAATTTATGACATTTTTATGCTCAAAAATGATTAAGTACATATTTTTTAATTATCATTAATTTTGTCACTCCGTCCATGAGTCAATGCTTTCGGCGCGTGCTATAAACCACTTGCCAAAAGTCACTTTTCCACACTTGTTACGAAATATACTATTTTTGACGACTGTATTGACATTTTTCGGTTTTGCTTCGAAATGTAAACTAGTAATGAAAAATACTATTGAATCGTGCGTTGAAAATTCAACATTGTAGACTTGTTTTGATTGTGAAGAACATTTTCAGTAGAAATTAGGGCACAAATGAATATAATCTTTCTCCAACGCGAATTTTTTTTTAAAGAGTGCTGGATTTTTATGTCCAGTTTTTTCACAAAGGAATGTTTCTTTTGACACTTGTATTCTCAATGTATTCTCAACCATCAGAACGAAAATTCAACGAATTATAATTTAATTAACCACATGAGAACATCTAATACAGTGGTACACCTACTACAGATATGACTTGTTCAACAGCAAGGAATATGGGATTCTCAGAGCTCTCATCCTCCGATCTCATAAAACTCGTTATATTATATATATTGCATAAAATTTAATTCATTACACTAATTATTTGTCTCATATTTTATCATGAAATCCATAGTCAACCCATGACTCGCGTTTTCCAAATTACAACTATCTATAATAGTTAAAACTAGAACGCCATTGTCGTATGATGAATTTCCATGAATTTTCACATGCCTTTGTTAAAAATTTTCATTATCGAAATTTTGTAGTTCCAAGAAAATATAACAATCTGAACATTGGATATGTCCCACTTCAGCTAAGACATTCGACGATGCTGATGAAAAATATTCATCCTTCATTCGGGTATTATCATAAATTGCCTACGCGCATAACTTTGCAAAATTATGAATTCCTCGGGCGATGGTTTTTTTTTGGAGACATGTTTATGGCCAGAAGAGATGAAAGAAAATAAAAATAGAAATTCTCTTTCCTTCTTTCGTTGGAGAACTATGTAAATGCAACTTCTACTGTGGAATATTACGCGCTCAAACGTCGGCATTATCAGTAAAACTGATGAAACATACAAGGGTGAGGGAAAAAAGAGGTAAAAAATAATGGAAGACGAGGAGCCGCGGAATTCAATTAAAAAGCAGGTAGATAATTGCAGATATAGTGGCAAAAGGGACTCTCCCAGAACTAATATTAAAATAATACCACAAGAAGGGCAACAGTTATGATAATAAAGTTGCTGTAGACTATCGTTGAAACACTTGCATCAAAGATTTCATTATGTTTAAAAGCATTGTGATCTTTAGTGAGAGGTATACGTGAGTGCGGTGTCGTTGTTGTAAAAATTTTTCCTCTTTCATGAGTGAATGCAACTGTACTCCTTTGTAAAGTCGGCGTGCTAGTTCTGCTGTATGCAAGTTTTGGTGTAGTCCTCCATAATGAATTTCCTCCATTGTATCTCCTCCCACTGGTGGAAGTCGCACGTGTCGCTTGCGTCACACCTTCAATCTCTGCAATGATAAACGATCGTATTCTCCCTCACATTTTTCTCCCTTCATCCCTCCATCCTTCCATCCCTCCGTCCCCCACCCACCATCCCTCTCCTACTCTCCTCACTGGCATTATTTTTTCTCATGCTATTCACCTCATGACACTGATATGAACTGAAATGGAGACAAACACCGAGCGGTAAGAAAAAAGGAAAAAATGATAAGCAACTCACGGTACAATCGCAGACTGGCTTCAGCCACCCCGATCACCGATGTTGCTCTGCACTTGTACTCATCCAAATCCTCCACCTTAAGTTGCTTTATCTTGAGTTCGATGGTTGTCTTCCACTCTTCTTTTTCACTAATCGTCTCATTACTCACAAATCTATCACTGGAGAAATTAGCATAGTGAATTAGTCAACAATAAATTACGAAGTGAAGTACCCCCTAGTTCAGTGAGGCTCACTTGACATCGTATACGTTTGCGTTATAGATATGAGATTTATGCATCAAGTATAATTTACGAGGTGAGCCGAGGGTGTGAGGGAAGATTGGCTTGTTCAGCTGTAATTTCAATTCCCGTGCGATAGGAAATTGATTTCAACCGAACGGACATACCCGACACACTTCAGCGAGGGGTCGAGGTTTTAGGGAGAGATAAGGGTCAACGTATTATATTTTCATATTTGTCATTTTGATACGTACTCACTGCTTATTGACACGAGTTGTTTTCCCCTCTGCCACACATTTATTGTTCTTGGGGAGGCCTCGATTTCACATATGAGTGAGACATCGGTGCCCAGGGGTGAGCGAACAAGTTCATCTTTCACTTTAGCCGTTGGTGAAACTTCTCGTTATTTCATTCAGCAACAATTTAATATGGGTTAGTCATTGAGAATTTGTTTAGTCATCGAGTGAGGGCTCGATGGTGATGGGAGTTAACGGTACGAGTGGATAATGCACCATCGAGGGCAAATACTCACAATGTACTCGCAAATAAACTCGTTTGCTGACACCCGGTGGTACGTCATTCTTTGCAATACAAAGATAGGCCCCCATTTGCTTTCTGTCTACCCTGATTAATTCCAGCCGCTCACCCGCCCACGTCTGCACTGTAATTTATATCGTCTATATGAGTGTTTCATTAGGTATATATCAGCAAGAAGTGTCTCGGTTTCCGGTGCTAACTCACATATGAACATTTCACCAAACTCGATTATAAATAGCCCCTATATGGAAACCGAGATTAAACTCTACGTTATGTACAATTTCAAACTTTACCAACTTTCCGCGATGTATTCCAATGAATGGGCTTTGATTGTTTTTTAAATTGAGTCGGATGTGGAAATTCGCCTCTGGACTTTCATTAATTGGGTAATCAATGGTAAAAAAATATTTAGCGCAAATTAAAAGGTGGATTATGATGTTGTCAAAAATAAAATTGGGTATTCATTTTGTACTCAAAATCTTCTTTACAGCATAAAATAATTTTTTTATTATTCCATTGAAATACTCTGTACAGCTTACGATTCCCAATGGAAAATTTAAATTTCAAACATCGAAATCAATTCCATGCTCGTGATATCTAGTTACTGTTATATTTGCTTTCCCATGAAATAACAAGTTAACCATTCATGTTAATATTGACGTTTCCACGATTTTAAATATGATAAAATCTGCTTGTCACAAATTAATGGGCACGGAAATTTCACTGAAAATATATAGAAACAAATTGGAAATGTGATGGAATGACAATGTATAATTGCGCTGTCAGTTGAAAAAAATGAAAAAAGAATACGAAATTAATGAAACAAATTAATTACCTTTAGTAAATTGATCACGATTTTTTCTGAGTAAAAAATCATTTTTCTCTTTCTTCCACGATACCGTGGGCGGTGGTCTTCCTGATGCTTTACACTCCAACGTAGCGTTTTCACCCTCTTTGACGATTACCTCGCTTTCTGATGTCCCCGACGTTAGGATATCAGGTGCAACTGCAAATTAAATCGTTAATATTGATTTCCGTATCGGTTTAACTCGACTTATGGAGGAAATAGATTGTAAAATGCTGATGATCGGTGGTGTGAAAAGGGAAGGCGAAAGTTGGCCGATGAGTTTATATCGAACAATTTGGTACATGTGGTAAATATCACGTACGTGATCTTATGGCTTCTAGTTTCATACGTTGATATTACCGTTACAGATAGTAATTAACACCGTCAGGAGGGGTTGTTCGGCCATATGGCTGAAACACGTACTCATTCGCAGTAAGTATCTATATTAAGTGTTTGTGGGTAATCCTCATAATTGATGTAATTTTCATCCAATTCCCGTTCCTTCGACGAAACCTAGGGTAATCTCCGCATACTAACATTGCATTGAACACGAAGTCTTACCTCTACAGGTATATCGGATGTTTATTGGGGAAATAAATTGAGAGATAATCCTCCACTCTTGGTAAAAATTCTACTTCGTCAGCTCTAGCCTGATCGATGACTTTTGGGTGAGAAAAATGGCCTTCCTTCCAAACCTTAATTTTTCATTAACCAATTCATTTAAATATAGAGAGATATATCGATTTTGAATTTACACGGAGAAAAAATTCCATTGAAAATTAGTAAGAACCTTCCCTAAAAATCAGTGTACTCCATCAATGAGAAATTGAAATGCTGCTGACTCATTTTTTCGGAAGGGTCACATGAGAAACTGGAGGAAACGCATGAAAAAGTAGTGCATGCCTCTCAAAAATTAGGGTGCCACATACGAATTTTTGAGTGAGGCATACCATTTTGTCCAGTGTCTCCCTCTATTTCCTTGTACACCCCATGTTACGTCCCAGCGTTGGTGAAAAGGTACACTAAATTTTGAGAGAATTTTTTCTCAGTGTAGTCGAGTTTTCCGTAATGGTCGAATTAACTGTAACTGTAGAATACAATAAATCGAGGCAACCGATGTTGCGAAAATCCCGCCAGTTATTTCTATTGTTTTCATTTCATACAAAAAAAAAGAAGAGATTTATTGGTGCGATTATTAATGTAAAACAAGCATAAAGCTTTTGCCTCAATAGTGATGAAACATGGAATCAAATATTGCATCCCCTTTCATTCAAGCACTATTACTGTTGAATGAATTGTGTCCATTGCTTCCACTCCCATCATTCGAATTAAAAACCATAATGACAATGAAACACTTCAATTATCCGAATGACTTGCATTGTCCATGCCTTGATGTGCTCAAATGAACTCCCTGATAATACCATCGCCATTAAAATTAATCTCGTAGACTATACCCTAGAGCCACCCTCTTGTGGTCCTTCAAATTAACCATTTAGAGATATGTGACAAAGTGAATGCAATCTATGTACATAATGTCACAGTAATGTGCTAATTGTAATTGCAATGGTCCAACCCATCACCACACATTGGGGTGGCAATGGAATGACATTGGGTTGGAACAACAGAATGTGTGGTAGACCGAGCAATTAGGCATACCCAGAACATCAACGCAGCCCACTTGGTTGAGCATTGGTTTTGTATTAACTTGACACATGTAGCATCCCCGATCCTGTTCCTTAAGAGTTTTTATGTGCAATTTCCACGTCGCCTCGTCCTCATTTCTTCCAGTCGTCAAATTCGTCTTAGGCTTCATGTTCTCCAGGGACAACGAAAACTTGTGAGAATTAGTCAAGGTTTTAGTACCCATTGACAGTACCATCATGTCATCCTTCCGCAGCCATGCAACCTGCAACCATAATAATCCCTATTTTATGCAAACTTTTCATTTATCGAACAACTACTCAAGTAACTCAAACATTGTTGGAGTGATACTCATAGGTTAATTTATATCCACTCGAGGAAAGTGTATGTGGAAAGAGGAGGGGTCTGAGATAGTGAGAGCTTCTGTTTGCGTTTTCCAGAGAGAGCGAAACTTGATTTGCATCCAGGCAGAATATTACCACGGGCTTGTGATGCATATTCACGCTGGTATACCTAAGGCCATCACCCAATTTGGCTCGATCCACCCATACTCGCCTCCAATTTCTGACGCGACCAGCCTCGACACCACACACGTACGTCAATTTGCAAATTCGCTATACTTTCCAATTTAATCTTTATGCTCGTCCAATTTTTTTTATCCCCCCACCCTCTCCCAGGAAATTTCTTCTGACGAAAAAATGTTGGGGGAATGAGTGGCAATTCATTTCGTCATGGTATGATTTGGGTTTGTGGCGATGTTGATTTCTTCTGAATTTCGGCCTGAACATTCCAGAGCACATGGAGGTGCTGATGCGAGCGGATGCATCTACCAATTAAAAGCCTTTAATCGTACAGATGTTCAATCAGGATCTCTTGATTGGGTGTAGTGTAACGATCCACATCAATGATTTCGGATAGTTATTGGACACTGGGATAAAAAACACTACAGACTTGCTGTCATTATGCGAATTCACAGTCGATCGCCGAGGGAATCAGACCTGCATTCACCTAAACGGCATTGATGCCCGGTTTATCCTGCGATTTCCGCAAAAGTCGGACTTTATCATCAATTGAGAAATAAATCTCAAATGGAATTACTTCCTCCAATTTTATGGTCCAATAAGTTTGCAGAATTTTTCAATCGGCTTGAATTTTTAAAATTACCACGTGCAAATTTTTTAATAATCCCTTGGCAATTCTTTCTCTGAAACTACCCATCAACTTCGTTAGTCCGAAAGCCGGATTAACCCAATTTTTCCTGTTCTCTAAATAAATGCGATATTTACTCATCAAGTCTGTTGTCGTTCCATTCGACTGCGGAAACCATTATTATAGTTTTCCTTTACATTTATTGGAACTATCATTATATAATTTAATTTATTACATAATTTCCCAAGAAGTCATATTATGGCGCACTCAAAAGTTGTTCCAATAATTTAAAGTCCCAATAATTCGGCAAAAACTTCAATCTCCCAAGACCCTGTACCGAAAGATGATTTACAAAAACTCGCCAAACACCCCCCATAAATTATAACCGTATAACCCCCCCAATCGCAGATTACCCCAATTCCCCTGAAATCCTCATGAAAATAATTCTCCCCCGACCTGTCGCGGATTGAAAAGAGGCCAAAAGAGCCCCACGTGCAACAAAAATCCAATTGATAGTCTACGTGTGGAGCCCATGCGTTTGTTTAATCCAGACCTCATAATTGCATGCATTAATTTCACGTTGGATAATTACAACCCATTGATAATCCCCCAGGAGTATTTGGTTGTTTGCTAGTACAGTCTGCAGGACCATTGTCCAAGCGATGGCCGGGAGAATGTGGAATTGCATATCCACCCTCCACCCACCCTCCACCCACCATCCGCCCACCGTTAACTCTCGACGTCATCCCCTAAGAGCTGCTCTCGAATGCAGTAGAGCCCATCTAAACTTCATGTCTACACAATGTAAGCTCATGTTTGAATGATACATAAGGGATTGTGAGGGAAATGCAAGATATAGGCCTAAAGAAATCGTCAAAGAGCTCTTGACAAATGTCGTTTGGTGAAGGTTATTATTGTATATCCGTTGCTATTGAAGAAATAAGGGACGACGAAGTTGTTCTCATAAGAAGTTTTTTTTTGAGAAAACGATGCAGAGGTGAAAAGAGCGGGAATCAATGGAGTTCCGGGATTTTCTTTGCTGGGTTAAGAGTTTCTTCGAGATCCTGTGCCAGTGGCAAAAAAAACATGGAAAAGAAACTGAGGAGGGACGAAAGGAGAAGAGAAAAAGAACCAACTCCAACTTTATATATACCAAAAGCAAGCAGCAGGGGAAAATCTCGCTGTTCGCCTCTACCGATGTCTGCTCTTTGCCCGGATACTGTCGTGTAGGAGAGAAGAGCTTGGTAAGTCTTAAGAACGGAAATGCACGGGGACAACAGGATGCTGGTTGTGTTAGTTTCATCTTTCCTTAGGGGTCTACTTCAAGACTCAGGGGTGCGTACTTGGTAACGGGTGTGTACAAATACTTGAAAATACTTGCCAACAATTCGAATCAACGTGACAGAGGGCTTCTCCCTTCCCCTCTATTTTCGATCATAAGAAAGTAACGCAAGACCCACAACCTTGGTGGAAAGAGACGCTACATGCCTGATCAGTACCCCTGATCTCCGATTGGATCCAGAAATGCCAATGAGTTGAGTTCAATTTCTATTTGCGAAAATCCGCGCAAGACGTTTTCTGACTTTCCTACGTTTTTATCATTTTTTTGGAATTGTCCATGGGTGCTGGACAGCTGACACGTGTTGGAAGCTGTGAGTTTTACCTTCGGAGATTTACGGTGTGGTGAGATGGAGAATAAATAATAGGCGAAGGTCCTCAAGCTGATTCTCCCTGTGGAAGAGTATTTGGATAGGTTGCCTGGGGGAGAAGGCAGATTTTTTGTTCATCTAGGGCACTTCGGCGTAAAGGATCGTTGAGATACTGTCAAGAGTGTTATCGCAACTTTTTCTCAACTGCTTCGGATAGTATAAATACTTCACAACATGCAGATTTTATTTTCGATATTTTCTAAGGGAACGAGGCGACAAAGATTGCATGAGGTTGTATACTTAATTTTTTCTTTCTTATATTCGGACCCTTTTTGCCTCCCTTTTTCACTAATTGGCCCTATCCCACCCTATGTATGCGGCTGTGAATCCCACACTGTACCGCATTCACTCTCCTATAGAACATAGAAGTGACATGGGAAACCACAGAAAAAACCATGTCGGTACAAGCGATTGCTCTATTAGCTACCTCCCACTCCTCGGTGCCACTTAAAAAATCTAATTCAACGGGTATCGAACGTACAAATGTCAGAACACCATACGATATAGGCTTGCACCTAGTCACTGAGCTACCAACGTCGGTTTATATTTAAGCAAAAGGGGAGAAAAGACATTTATTTCAATAAAGAATAGTTAATTCACAGAGTTGGTATGCAGAGATTTTTCATGATAGTAAGAAAATGTCTTTTCTCTTTTCATACTCTCTTCCGTCTGGTCGTCCCTTCTTCCTTCCGTTTGAATTTTTCTCTCGTTCCTTTCACCCACATGCGTCATTGTTTTGAATTGTGAATTACGAGTTTCTGTTATTTGGAGAGAGATAAAGAATCTGATGAGCGAATGGATGTGGAAGACGGGGTCTATAGTCTAGCGGGCAAACACAATATAGGCGTTTTCAGTGTGGCAGTATCTCAGAGACAATAAGTGGATCGGTATGCTTACAACGTTTTCCAATATCACCGAGAATATTTCCTCGGTTATATGAGAATGAAAGATATCGGTGTACCAATATCTATACATATAGTATGTATTTTTGACGGGTGAAGAGCTTCTCGTTGGCTCAAAAGATGTAAAAGAGGAATATGCGAATGTCGGATGACGATCACTTTGCAAAATTACGCTTTCTTTCTGGGCACCGGTGTCGTTCATTTGTTGCCTTTGATGTGGCTGCATAAGATATTTTTTTATCACTTGCTGTCCCATTCGCCCCCATTTTTTATTTCATCGCTCTTCAACTCCCAACTATTCAAACCCCCATCCGTCCTTTGGTCTTTTTCTCCACGTGAAGTATGGGATGGGGCAAACGTGAGCGATTAGAGATCCAACCGAGGACATTTGTATCCCGAAGGCTGTAAAACCCCTCCGGATGACCAGTGAAATATCCCTTGAACAGGGAAAGACAGAAATTATTGAGTAGAAGATGAAAGATACTGGGATCTACTCGGAAAAATATTTTCCATTTTTTCCCCCTCCCGGAGGAGAGTGAATTCCCTGTGATTGAATATCTCTAGGAGATGGAGGACATTCCATTGGTAATTATTCATGAGAATTCAATTGGATTTGAAAGAGGAGGACTGTGGAATTCAAGCCCACGGAGATTTTCCACCGCGAATTTATATTATTTATTCGAACGCGAAATAACTCATTTTTCCTCATCTATTCAATCCTCTCACGTCACTTCGACGTATGACGTACATTATCAGCGAGTAGAAAGTGAATGAAAAGCTGCCGACGAGTTGGTGAAAAAAGTGGAATTGAAATAAAACGAGAAGATTCCCCGGTGGCTTATATCTAACCCATCGGTGTGGTATTTTCAAGAGTCCCAGAGTTCCACGATTCCACGTTAGCGCTAAGAGATTGCTCTCACCCATTCTCACACACCCTTTACCCCATCCCACTCAACCCACCCAGCCACCCATCCACCATTTTCCTGTCATCCGTCCCTTTTCAACTTCCGTTTTCCAGTGTAATCATGGAAACAATCATTCTTCTCTCTCTTGTGGCCATATCCCACTGAAAATCCCACAGTTATACAACACTCCCACTTCTTACCACCCACAACCATCCCTCCCTCACCACTACCCCATTTCCCTCTCTTTATCCACTGGCGTTTTCCCTATCTAAAGTTGAAACTATCCCAGTGTTCCCAACATTGGGGTTTCCACCGTTCTCCACTGGCACTCGAGCACTCCTTTTACCTTTTCGTCTAGCCAAGAGGAGTCCATCGTCGTCGTCGACTGTTACCCCTTTTCACTCCCGGGCCCCTTTTCCAACTGCAATCACCGATTTGTCTGAATAAGCCCCGGAGGTAGAGTATATATGGTAGCTCCCCTGGGGGAAACACTCCTTTTCCATATCATTCCCTCTCGACTCCATCTCGTTGAATTTCACTTCAATATTTTACACACCGAAAAAAATTTCATCGCTCATCGAACCTTGATGGAAGACAAGT